TTAAATTAAATTCGCTAATAAATTGAACTTTTGCAATTTTCCAATAAATTTACAAATTTTAGGCAGAAAAACTAATGATCTTTGTTTGTGTTTCAAAAATTGCTATTAAAATAATAATACAATAATATAATACATTTGTATAATACCAAACAAATAAAAAAGAATTATTTAATTGCGATTTGAACCTATATAAAATGGTGGATGCGCCGGAATTGTATATAAATATATATATTGAGAAAGAAATATTGAAATCTAAAAATAATTGTTTGCGGTTTCAATTCCTACATATTTTTTAAACTTAATTCCCAAGAATAACTGAACTTAAAAATGAAATCCTGGTTAATATAGAAATTGAAATTAAATTTACAACTTTAGAAACTATTAAAAACTTTAACTCTAAGGAACTAATGCATACAATTTTGCATAAGTAAATGATATTCCGGATATATCCGCCGGAATGTATTGCTGTATTACAATAAAACTGTCTAATTTTTAGTAGGGACGTTTTCTGTTTCAGAGCCCTGCGAGAAAACCTTTTGCGCCTGGGGGGCGCATTGTATAACCGGACCCGATGGGAAGGCCGTGTGCCAATGTCCGCAGCATTGCCGAACCCATAGAGATCCTGTATGTGGAAGTGATGGCATCACCTATGAGAACCACTGCAAGCTGCGGATCGCCTCCTGCAGGGCCCGCCTCAACACCAGAGTCAAATACTCCGGCGAGTGCGGTAAGCGATATTGATTTAACAATAAATTATGGGTCGGGAATAGGGGTGGTGGTGGTTGGCGGCGCCGACCTGGGTCATAGATCCGCGGGGCCCTCGGTGCCGCAAGACAAACTGCTTTATAAAGATATCATGTAAATTTCAACCCCTCCGAAAAGAAGGAACGCACTCGTGTCGAAAACGCCATTTTCATATAATTCCTCTCCCTGAAATTCTTCGAATGTTTTCATAAACTTTCTGAAACACAACCAGCGTCAGAAAAATAGTATACGAAATAAAAAGGAATAAGAGAGTGAGAGAGAGAGAGAGAAGCGAATGTACAAACAACAACAAAATAAAAAGGAAGAAGAAGGGGGTTGGTATAAAGCTCAGACAAAGACGTCGAGGGAAAAACGCATCGCGTTTCAAACAAACTACTAAATTCACTTTACAAAGGTGCGCGCCGTAATCCAAAGCATTCTAACGAAAAATAGAAGGAAAAAAATATATATGAAATAAAAGCGACGCACAGGTGGAGGCAAAAAATGAAAACACAAATCAACGTTACAAGAGAAGAAGGATGAAAAAAAAGTAAATCTAAAAATAAAATAAAACTAGGAGAGGATTTTTAACAGGAACTGGCGGTAACGTGATGCCCCTCTCTGCAATCTATTGATTCCGTTTTGCTGTTGCAATTCACTATCGATACTGCCGCAATCCCAGAATTTTTATTGAAAACAAAAAAAGAGTTAGCGGTAACGTAAACGTAACATAAAATCGTGCACATTTTCCGTGTGGCCAATTTTTTCTCTCACTCTGTGTGTGTGTGTATTTTTTTTTGTTGTACATGCGGAAATTTAATGCAATTGCGAACACAAATGGCGTTGAATTGGAATAGACACAAACACGGTTGATATATTTTGTATATGGTGGAAAGTACGCGTGGCAATAGGGATAAATGCATATTAGGATATGCTTCGAGGTTTCGTACTTTATACTATGTTTTATTGAGTAAATTGATAATCAAAATAAATTATTTTTTTTCTTTTTAATTTGTAACTTCAAAATTATATCGGCTCGAAAAACTAATACGTTTTTATTCTAATTTATTAAAAACAAAAAATTATATTTGCACCGTGAAAAGATCAAACATTATTTTAAAAGACATTTTATTAAATTAAATCCGCTAATAAATTGAAGTTTTGCAATTTTCCAATAAATTTACAAATATATATTTTTATGTTAGGCAGAAAAATTAATGATCTTTGTTTGTTTATCAAAAAGTGTTATTAAAATAATAATAAACAAAATATATTGTATAATACTAAACAAATAAAAAAGAATTATTTAATTGCGATTTGAACGTATATAAAATGGTGGATGCGCCGGAATTGTATATAAATATATATATATATATTGAGAAAGAAATATTTAAATCTAATTAAATTCAAAAATTCCTACTTATTAATTTGATTAAATAATGTATTAGAAGTTTATTACATTAATATATTAATTATTAAATTTTCTTTTAAATGAAATTAACCTAACGTTTCTATATTGTTTTTAATTACTTTCTCATTTAAGAAATAACAATTAAGAAATTATTGTTAAGAAAGCAATAAACAAATCCATATATGGTTACGAAAACGCGACTGGCTTACGTCACGATATCTCACAGCAGTACTAAAACGTTTAAATTTGTTGCATAAAATTAAATAATTACAAAATGATACAAATGTTCAGTATAATTTGAAACAGGTCTGAAGAGGTTAATTTAATTAATTAATTTAGAATATTTAAAACTAATTGGATTGAATATTTTGAGACAAGCAATTGTTAATATTGCGAAGGGGTGGCTTCAACAATGTTATTGATTTAGTCGTTAGTAGAAGAATTTAAAATCCGCAAGTAATATCTAATCCAACTTGGGGTTTCGACTTAATCTCCGGTATAATGAACTATATTAATAATAAAGTTGCGGCGATGGGGGTTGTATATAATATATATATTTTGTGTATATATATAATGACTTTCTTCTTGTTTTCAATTATGTTTGTATCTCGCTGTTTTTAATTTAAAATGCCCTCGACGTTAGTTCGTTAAATTCTCTTTGAGCATCTTTTGTCCTTTATTTCTTTTTCCCTCCACCGACTCTGCGTCTTTATTCATTTGGCTTTAATTTCACCCATTGCATCTTAAGAAAACTTTGATTGAAACGGAATATCCGGTTTTCAAATTATTGGTACGGATTTAGTTATTTCGTGCGCTTATCTATTATTATTGTCTTCCTTACAACATTTTCTATCTTGTCTTGATCATCGTCTTCTTTTGGTTGTAAAAAGAAGAAGATGTGTATATAGCATTTTTGCGCGGCATTGAAGCGTTTCCTGCTTTATTTATATGATCGGGCTGGGTGAGGTTGTAAGGGTTGTAACGGCACTGGTGGGGGTTTATCGTGAGCGCGGAATCTTCGGCCAATTACATGATGAAAAACTGTTTCCGTGCCGATCCCGGAGGACTCGCGGAGATAACGCCCGAAATATGTGAGATACTCATTTCCCTTGGGGTTGTAACGAGTATGATTCTTTCAGAACGGCCTCCTCGGAGATGCCGGCCATATCCTGCAACAGTAGCTTCCATCACAACAACAACAACAAACCCCCAATCCTCGACCCCTTCATCACCACCCACCCTAACAAACCCCGAGAATGCAATAACGCAGTGCTGTGCATATTTTAAGTTCGCTGATTATGAAATTAGTTAGGGAGGCAAGTTTTGTTTGTGTTGGCGTCGGGGACGTGTAGTGTTGCCAAGTTTTGCTTATTATCAGAATGGGAACTATTTGTATATTAAGATTCCCGTTCGGGAATGAATCTATGACGTTTGCCTGGAGCGCAACTTGCACACATACCCTCTAACACAGAGCAACCAAACTTTTGACGTTATTATGTAACGACGCCGATACTGGATGCCGGTAGCCGTCGCAGTTACGTAACGTCGCGTCAACTTCGACACAATGCCGCACTTGTTTTTGCCATTTCCCATATTTTATATTAAATATACACTTCTTCTAATTTTTTTTCTCTTCTTATTTCTTCGTATTATTTTCTTTTCTTTTTTTGTTGTTGTTGAACGAACGTTGAAACCCTTTTCATCCCTTTGGCCGCGCTCTAAATGCAGTTTTAATGCTTTAACGTCGCGCGACATTTTAGGACTTCATTTGAATTCGTTTTGGTTTGAATTTTGCCGCACAATGCCACTGAATACAAAGCATTGCATTTCGCGCTAAAAGCGTGTATGATTATGTTAATGATTGGAATTTTAATGAAAACGCTTTTGCGTTCCGCCATAATAGTTCGTTCCGTTTTGCTTTTCTTCCATGAATACTAATTAAACAGTCACTGTAATTCATCACTGCGAAATCTAAGCAGGTTGGCTATTTTCGTTTCCATGCAATGGAAATAACTCCTTCACTTGAGAGAATTTTATCTTAATAATCAATATAATTACATTTATTTTATATAAAATTATTATAATTACTTCGCAATACTATTATTTATTTTGGCGCGCAATTTGAAATAATGGAAGTAGAAAAAAAATGTACAAACATACATTGACCGAGAATAAAAAAAAAAAACTATGTCGCTACACGACACCCATAAATAGCAGGGTGCAATAAATTCAGCAAATTTCATTTACAGAATACTAAAAGTTCGGGATGGGGGTTGCAGAGGGACGGCCGATACGTCTGGAACACAAAGTTTTTAATAAAGCAAATCAATCATGTCCGTTACGTTCCGTTCAGTACGGTTCAGTTCAGTTTCGTTCCGCTTACGTACGGCGCCATTCGAAATACACAGATCGAATTCCTAAATCAAATACACGTTTATGGGAGCGCTTTCTCCGCAAAAGTGAAAAATGATTTTTGTTGCCTACTTCGAAAATTTACCTCCGACCTATTTCATCTTTCCGATTTCGAGCTCTCCCTTTTCCAGTCCTCTCTTTCTTTATTTTTCTTCTCCCCCTGGCGTTTGAGAAATGCCCGGAGTTAAAAACATTAGGAAAGTATGTTTCTAAGTATTTGTATATAATATATATATAGTGCATTGCAAGACCACGTATATAGACGTCTATAAATCTTCGACAACAACTACTCTCTGGAACACAAGTTTCGCAACCCGAAGCTGCTCGCGCTTGTCGAACGCAAAGATAATTAATCGGAATATTGGTGCATCTTTGCACGTAATTAAATGGTGGCTTCCGCTTTTCAAAATAATAAAAAGTTTAATATTAATTAATTAAATCGTGCGAACAATGTTCCCATTGATCTCATCATATGTAAACATATGATGCGAAGGTACATACATGCACACGTTGCCTCCTATTTAGTATTTGAGTTCGTTTATTCCGTTTCGTCCGCTGTTTCCAAACTGATGCATTTCCGTACTCGCATGCACAAGTCGCCGAAACACACTGAATTCGGCAAAAACTGGATTCCGCCATCATTCGATTTGCAGACTCTTCAATTTCCAAGCGAATCGAATTCCGCCAGAAAATAAAGCTAAACGTCTGCCCTTCGGCTAAGTACGTTACCGAAACAAAAAAAAAAGAATACTACGCTATTTCGAAAATTTCGTTACGCCTTTGAATATCCACGATTTACCTATCCTCATCACAAATTCTATTTCAACCCATTTTCCAATTATTGAAAAATTATTAAAGACTTTATATTATAAAATCAATTTGTATGTTAAAGCATTAAATTTATATGTAGTATACTATAGAATTTAGTAAATAAAATTTGTAGTTGACGTTAATTTGAATAGCTCAAAGCTTCGATGAAATGACGATAACAGCTTTATATGAGTGCTCAGGTATAGTAATGATGTATATACAGATAAATACGAGTCTCGAGTTGCATTCGGAATGTTCATTGTGAGTAGTAAGCGCTGGGGGAAGTGAACAAAACTGAAATGGAAGAAAAGGCTTTAACGAGATTTGCTTATGGCGAATTATGTGCACGGAATATATCAAAAGAGGGAATGATTGTTTAAGTAAGTAGCTTTTGTTTCATCGTAAAAAGTGTGCAGATGCGAAGGGAGAAGAAGAGTCCCGATGCAGAGACGGAACATAAATATAATACTACGGCACGTTAAGTCTTCAGAAATCTTCTGCAGCGCTCGAAGATCGAATTTATCGGTATCGCAGTAATCGTATTTATTTATGCGGTGGACTAACCTCGGAAGATTTCACGATGCTCCCACTCTATTGAAAGTGGATGTTCCTTCTGCATTTTCGTTTTATTTTTTTTCTCTCTCTATATATATATATTTTCTTTTTGTTCTTTTTCTCTTTTATTTTTCTTCTCTCTTCTTCCGGTCGTCTTGATGCAGTGTGAATGCGAAAGGGGGTGAATCGGTCTACGAAATTAGAAAGGGCCCGAGGTGACGTATGGACGTAATGGTCGTTGCTAGTGGTACGTGATGCACATAGTTAGAAGGCAGGGGTTGGAAAACATAATGTTGACCATTGGTTCGGTCGCATGTCGCGTATCGCCGTAACTAAGCAACGGTATCAGTTAGTGCTGGTATTATGTGCCGTTCCGCCACGGGAATATTTAAACCGGACTGATTGTGCCTATTTGCGAGGCATTCCGGGGAATCTGGCAAGATTAAGCTACATTTGCATTTGGACGCCGAGCGTCGGAAGTTAATTTCGGGCTTCCTCCTCTTGAGGCGTCGCAGACGCAACCGGAACACATAGCGCTCTCATTTTATTTATTCAAATGCAGAGCGCACTTGGCTTGCTTGCTTATCGTGCGATGCACATTAGACATCGTTCTATGGGGGTGGATTTTGGTGGGGTTGCCGGACGCCATCAAGACTTTATTATTTATTATCCCCGAGAGATGAACCTTGTTTTGGACTCACTTAACTTTGGAACGGAGTCGACTAAACTTGACTCGAATTGTAATTACAAAGATTTAATTGAAGACAGTCTCATCAGAATAATCGGGTTTAAGAGTTAGTAACTTTTACAAGGCGCTTCTTCCTCCACTTCTTTTTTAAAACCTCTCCTTTCATCATATCCGTCTACTTGTTTTAGCTTTTTTCATGTTTGTTGGTCGCGCGTTTGCAAAAAGCGTCTGGGGGCGTATAGGGTGAAGTGTAAATATTTGAAGCGTTTTGTGTTTGCTATAGAGAAGACAGAAAGCGAGTGCGACAACGAAAGCGACTGCTAAAGCGAATGGGTTTGAGTGAGAGAGAAATAGAAAACACATATATGTATATGTATGGAGTCGGAATGTTGTGTCAAGTTTCATAAGCTGTTGCAGCCAGCACGTTCCGCGGCCGACGAGTGGATGCCGGTACGAGAAGAGCCCTTCAGGCAAGTGGCAGGCAGCTCCCTCGAAAGCGATAACCAGCAGGACTTAAATCCTTCAGATGAGCCCTGATTGACGCTCGCCCGACTCTATGTTTGGTGTATTAAGTACAGTGGCTTAATTTCCATACGCGCCCTCTACACTGTCCTCAATTTTCATTACTATCATATAAACATTACAAAAAAAAATACAATTTTTCCATTAAAATATTTTCAATATTTAGTCCTTTCCAATGTAAAAAAAAATATTTTTCAAAGGTTCTATTGTTTATTCGAAATTCTGATGTATTTGATACTTGATTTGATGTTCCTCAAGGTGCAGTGATCTGTCCTAAAAGAATAATAATTAAATGTTGCAAATTTCATTTTGTTTTAATGAGTACATGCAATTTGTATATGTAAATTATACAATTAGTGATATAAGAATAGAGGTGAGTGTAAAACTGAGCATACGCCACTGATTAAGTCGAACTTAAAATCAATATGGCGCTTGCTCTGCTCATTGCAGTCACGCTACCTGCTACATGCGACGTGCTAGTGCCGTCACCTCAGTGGCATTTCAACCCCTGTACCGTTCGCGCGTTCGCAGAAGCTCGTCCACTTTCGCGGCGACTCGTGTCCCGATATCGCATCCCCTAAAATCGAGACGCAACTTCCGGTCGCGAAACCAATATACAATCCGGAAGCATTCACATTTGCCAAGGAACTGGCACTGGCATATGAGTGCCAACAAGCCAAGCACACATCGCATGCCAGACGCCAGCAAAAACCACCCCCGTTAGCACGTAGCGTAACCAAGTCAGCCATAGCAACCTCAGGAATTAACTCTGTGATATAGCTTACAAATAGCAATAGCAATTGTAGAACTAACAAACAAACAAAAAAATAGTAAAGAATAAAGAACAACGAAAGGCAAAAAAACCTTATGATGAATTTTGCATGCACTACCACAATGCCGGTAGCCCTTCTGCTGTGCGTTATTGCGCGAAACAGTATCACCCTCGGCTGTTACGTGTTCCCGAAGGGTAAGTAGGAGATTACGGTCGCAATATCCGGCCGCTGAGTTATTTATCAAACTCGGGAATGCATATCGATCAGCGGACACTTCTATCCAACACCATCTAGTATGAATATCATCTTTCTTGTTGCAGAGCAATCCGATCCTTGTAAGGACAAGCAGTGTGGTTTCGGGGCCAGATGTGTGGCTTCTCCTGACGGCCGCAATGCCAGCTGCCAATGTCCTGACAAGTGTCCCAACTACGGGGACCACTCCAGTTCTCGTCCAGTTTGCGGCAGCGACGGAGTAGACTACAAAGATCAGTGTGAACTTAGGAAGGCCGCCTGCACCTCCAACACCAACGTCACCGTCAAGTTCTCTGGAAAATGCGGTAAAATAACATATTCTCAAACCTACTGCTACCTCTACAAGACTTGCGTCTACATAAACCTTAGCAGTAGTTAATAAAGTTGATTTAAAGCTATCAACACAATGAATTCATAATTTCGTTTATAAAATCTATAAATTAACGCATCTCTCAAAGTATAACATACATTTTAACTAGTATTAAAATTATCATCAAATCAATCAATGCATGCCACAAGTAACGATTTATAAGAAGAGTTTAAACACAGAAGTCCATGAAGAAATGAAACAGAACAATTAAACTATTTTTTTTTTTTACAAAAATTCATTTGCGATTCCTCAAGTTTCGCTGATTTTCTTCTCAAATGTTGTAATTCAATTTTGAAATTCTATATTTCTCAAATAATAAATAATATTAAATCACTTTCTTAATAAATGTTATTATAAATTGTTAAATATAGATGCAATGGTCCTTGAAGAAAACAGCACATTGATATTTGACGTGTTGGCGATCGAAGCACACGTATAAAGTTATTATTAGTTTCGAACACACGAAGTCGTGACTAAATCATAAGATTTATTACTACAACTACTAACACAAACAAGTCATTCCTTCTGGGAATAATAATACTTCATAAAGATACTTGAGCTCACATATCATTATTAGACGTTGTATTACCTTTACCTACCGTATATTACCATGCATATTTGTCACTTTAACATATCGTAATGGTATTGTATTGTGTAAAAAAAAATGTAAAATAACTTTGCGTAAATAATTTTTAAAAAAAATGAAGTTTTGTTAATTTATATTTTTATTGTTTATTAATTTTTGGATATTATACAAAAAAAAAATGTTATTCATTTATAGTTTGTGTAAGAATTGTAATATAAAATTAGTTTTTTACAAATTTATGTTTATGAGTATAAATTTTAATCAACAAATGGTTGGTTGATAGTTAAGTATTTTTGTTTGTACTAGAATTGAGATACTTAAAAATGCAGCAATTAATCTTGCGCGGATGAAGAGATCCAGGTTGGATTAGTTGGAATGGATTAATTAAAGTGTACATCCTTCGCAGATCCTTGTGCTGGGATAGAGTGCGCGGAGCCGGAAGTCTGCCAACTGGACGACCACCGGAATCCGGTGTGCCGGTGCGGTGACACCTGTCCACTGGAGTTTACTCCGGTCTGCGGTTCGGACGGCAAGACCTATTCCAACGAATGTTCTCTGAGACAGGAGGCGTGTAGATCGAGGAAAACATTGAACATCATCTATCGCGGCAAATGCAGTTCAGGTATACAGGATCAAAAATACCGAAGACAAATGTAATTCACAATTAACCATTGGGATTCCGATTCAGGTGTCAACCCATGCACGAGTGTACGATGCACGCTAGGTGAGGAATGCGCCATAAACAAGTACGGGATAGCCCGGTGCGAATGTCCTCCAGTCTGCGAACCCATCATGAGACCAGTCTGCTCGAAGGACGGCCGCACTTTCCCATCGGAATGCGAACTCAAGAGGTCCGGCTGCATGGCCAGAGCAAACGTGCAGATCTCGTATGCGGGCGTCTGCGGCGAGATGGGCCCTTGCAGTGAACACGAGTGCCATTTCGGTGCCACCTGCGTCGAAAGGGCAGGAAGGGCTCATTGCGAATGTCCTGTTTGCCCAGCCGAATTCGAGCCCGTCTGCGGCTCCGACGGCATCTCGTACGGCAACGAATGCAAGCTTCGCATGGAGGCTTGTAAACACCGCAGGGAGATTAGGGTTTTATACGACGGTCCCTGCAGTAAGCCGCCTTTTTCTTCTCTTCTATGAAACTTTTATATCAACTCCTTCTTTTTTTTGTCTTGCCTTATTCGCAGATGGCTGCGAAAACAAAAAGTGCGACTTCTATTCGACCTGCGAGAGCGACGGCGCCACGGAGGGCCGCTGCGTCTGTCCGTTGTACTGCAAAGATGAGAAGGTTAGTTAGTTTAATTAGTTCTCGGGTCGTTATTTATCTCTGAGCATGAGTCGGACGTTCCGGATGGAGCGATCCGTCTTGCACACCTCTTGAAGCGGCTCCTTGGTCTGCCTCTGCCGGTCAATAAGATGACATTAGTGTCGGGTGCAGGATAACGAGATAACTTGATACGCCCAGATGGCTAAGATTAATACTGTCCTGATGGCTTCTATTGTCTCTCATCTTACCACCAACTAATTACCACTTACATTTTATTCATCTGTTATTGTCCAATGCAACAGTTGAAACATATTTATTACCTTTCAAAACATGATCTCCATCATTCTTTTAAAACAAATCTGTTTTTATTTCTCAAATTAAATTATTAACTTACAAGAAGGTAATTTCAACTTATTCGTCCATTTCTTATTATGTTCATGTTAAAGATAGCTACAAAAAAAACTTTTCTGTCTTAAGAAAATATTTTATTTTTACCATTTTCTCAAAGTATTGTGAAAATGTAAAAGGTGCTCTCGGCATTTCCAAAGCTCTTAGAAGAGAGCGTTTACATTTCGAGCACGTAGATTTATTGAAATACCATATTTATATTCGACGCCGGTTCAAAACATTATCCAGGCCTCAGATACGACGGTTAAACGCATTTGTTTCCGCAGCTCACGAACGGCCCAGTATGCGGAACAGACGGGGTAACTTACGGCAACGAATGCGAGCTTAGGATTGCCTCCTGCAAATCCAAGCAGTACGTACTGATGGCATACAAGGGAGACTGCGGTAAGTAATTCCACCTGACATTCGAAATCGAGGCTAAATACCAGAATATCCTGCTACCTGTGCAGATCTGTGCCAAGGGGTGGAATGCAAATTCGGGGCACGCTGCGAAGCCGGAGAATGCGTATGCCCTACGAACTGCGAAGGGTCAGGGGATGAGCCTGTTTGTGCCTCCAACATGATCACCTTCCCCAACGAATGCGAACTTCAGAAGGCCGCCTGCCACCAAACAGCTGGTTCTACTCTAAGCGTAGTCTTCTACGGGGATTGTAGAGAACGTTTTCCAGTCGCCGGTGCTCTTAGTAAGTTACCAATTTAAATAATGAAGAATTACTACTACCCAACACAAGCTTTTTACTAATTCCTATTAACTGACTAAACTCGAATCCTAGCTACGTACTCGCCGTCCACTGCGTTTAATATAGCTGGAAACGTGTACGGACCGGAGGCGGCCACTGCCGCTCCGCCTTTCGGATCAACGGGTCTGGCTGGATTCTTCGACTTGGGTCAGGCTGAGCGAGAAGCTTGTCGCGATATACACTGCGACTTCGAAGCCACCTGCGAATTAGGTCCTGACAACTTTCCTAGATGTAGTTGTCAATTTGACTGTGCCAGTGCGGCTGCCCTCGTTTCTACGTCCAAGCCTGTCTGTGCATCTGATTTACGAATTTACCCGTCACTCTGCGCCATGAAAATGGAAGCGTGCCAGAGGCAGGAGGAGCTGCGGCTGCGGCCGCTCGACCTCTGTCAAGGTTCGCACTAATAACACTAATTGATCTGTAGTAACAATGCTTTGACACTTGATTAAACGGAATGAGAGTTATAACATGTTGAGAATTCGTTTTGCAGGCATGGAAGTGAAACCCTGTAATGGCGAGAAGCCACTTTCCGATGCTACCACAGGTAAGGAATTGGATTGCGGCAATGGACCTCATCGCCAGGATTGTCCATCTGGTAGTTACTGTCATCAAACCACTAGATTTGCCAGGTGCTGCAATAAAGGTAAAATTCACTATATCTTAATACAACATTTTTTTACGAATGTAAATTGTTTAATAATTATTAGTTTAACGAATCAAAGTTGAATACAAATATTATTAAGATGTCCTTAAATTCTTGTATTTAGATCAAAGTATATTGATGCAAAAAAGTTGCGAGGATGGTTGGTACGGTTGTTGTCCGGATGGTAAGACGGCCGCACAGGGGCCTGACCATGCTGGATGTCCATCTCTATGCGGATGCAACAAGTTAGGTTCCTACTCGGACACTTGCGATCCGGACACGATGCAATGCAAATGCCGACCAGGAGTCGGAGGCGAGAAGTGCGATAGGTGCGAGCCGGGCTTCTGGGGATTACCGAAGATCTCTGCTGGCCATCACGGTTGCATACGTAAGGAGAAACTCCGACAGTTGGGATATTTGGTCTTACAGGTCTTTGTATTTACAGCTTGCGCATGTTCAACGTTCGGTTCCGTGAGAGATGATTGCGAGCAGATGACTGGTAGATGCGTCTGCAAACCCGGTATTCAAGGTCAAAAGTGCACCATCTGCACAAACCACGATAAAGTGCTGGGTCCGAACGGTTGTGTTCCAGGTATCTCCGTCATTCCTTCTTTCCATCTTCCAGCTATGCTCATTTTGAATTCCACAGTTGACCAAAGCACTGCTCCGCCGACAACTTGCAAGGAATTGACCTGTCACTTCGGAGCTACTTGCATTGCTAAAGGTGGTTTAGCCATCTGCGAATGCCACACCGATTGTCCCGAAGAGAGCGATCCCCAGGTACTTTAGAATGGTAATCTCAGGTTCGATCTTAGGTTGTAATCGAATTTACTTTATAGATCGTTTGTGGAAGCGATGGACAGACGTACGCGTCATCCTGTCAACTACGTTTGGTAGCCTGCAGGCTCCAGAAAGACATCGTCGTTCAAGCGTTTGGAACTTGTAAAGGTATAGTAGTTGGTTTTCTTTTCTCTTGTTGTTTTCTTTCGGGTCCAGGTCAGGATGCTGTGAACGTTGATTGATTGTTACAGAGGATATGTTTCCGGGAACAGATTGGCCTGTCCGTCGTTACACTCCTCTGCAGTTTACGCAGCCGGACGACTCGAACTCACCCCTATCGAAGTCGACGCGACACCTCTTGGTTCCCGATTCTCGATACTATTACGAGAGGGAACGCAGCGGATCCTTGCACCGACCCGTCCACGGAGGTGGGCCATTCCCACCCGACCCGGACAACAATGCCTCCGCCGAAAATAACCTGTCCGCTGCAGGATCCGATAGCATTTACGATAACCGCGGTGAGGCCATTATATAAGCACTACCAGATACGTGTGTAATGTATATCCTCTCTCCCTCTATGTCTCTATCCTTTTCTATCACACGTCCAATCCCGTACTATTGTAACCCAACGTGTATGTATGTTCTGGAAAAATAAAGATTGACTATTTTGATTTGTACATATGTGCATGCCTGATGGACACAGGGCCGTCCCGTGGTATTTCACCGGCTTACAAAAAAAATACTTTCAGCAAATCTACAACTAACCTTCATACCATTAGTAATTCCCATTTATTTACCAAAAAATAAAAATTGTAATCGAAATCAATAATTATCTACAACGAATTAAAACTACTTTAGATCAATTAATAATCCTATTTACCACTAATTTTATAATGGATTGTAACTATTATAACTGCATTATTTATAAAATAAAATAATTGGTAAAATAATTAAACAATTATAAGTACACCAACGACTAATCCAAATAAGATCATTAAAAACCTACAATTATTTTTCAATTATTAATTAAAAAACAAACAATTTTTTTTAATTATTAAAAATCAATTGCATTTCAAAATTGTTTCTAAATTTTCTTATTTTTTCTTAAATAATTCATATAATTTGATACTGTTTTTGACAGTAACTCTAATCCACGAGACGGCCCTACGGAATAATAAATTATAATCCAGATTGTGAACTATTTGTTTTATTGTTTCTCTCTTTTCCGGTACAGGCGGAAACTATGCAGCCGCTTACAGACCTACCCCTGCGACGGTACGAGTAGTAACAGCCCTTCTGGGTGATCTCTGCTCTGACAATTTAGATTGCATGATAATGTACAGTAGCTGCGAACAAGGCGCTTGCACCTGTCTTCCTGATTATTCGGAATCACCTGATCGTCAAGAATGCATCGGTAAGTTAAGATGTAACAGCAGGATAAGTTCACCACTAAGATCAAAATTTTGATGTAGCCGATCCAAATCCTACTGATGAATTCCGAGCATGCAGCTCTGCACCCTGCTTACACGGAAGCACATGCGTGGATTTACCTTCGGCGACGTTTACTTGTGTATGCCATGTTAATTATACTGGACCCCACTGCGAGACGGAGATTGTTCATAAACAGTACGAAGTACCTGCGTTTGATGGTCGCTCCTATGCTAGGTTGAAGCCTTTGAAAGCTTATCATAAGCTTAGCATTGAAGTTGAGTTTAAGACTTATGCTAATGATGGTATTATTCTCTACAATCAGCAGAAAGCTGATGGGGTCGGTGACTTCGTGTCTTTGGCTATTGTTAATGGATTTGTGGAGTTCAGATATAACTTGGGGAACGGCGCTGTGGTCATCACGTCGCTCGATAGGGTTCAGTTGAAAAAGTTCCATAGAGTCGTTATAAAGAGATACCATCGGGATGGCATGCTGAAGTTGGATGAAGGCGAGGATGTCGCAGGACAATCGGCTGGAACTCTTCGCGCATTGGACCTCGTTGAAGACACTTTCATAGGTTTCATACCAACAAATTACTCCAGGTATTTAATTGAGTGAAGGTTTTTGGAATCGTCGTTACGTATTGATTTTCAACAGGGTTTACGAGAATGTAGGTGTTGATAGAGGACTACAGGGATGCATCAGGAAACTGAAGATTGGTCGACGGACAGTCGAATTGCATGAGCACCGTGACGAATGGGTGGTTAGGACTGAAGGGGTGCATGAGTGCGGCGAAAACCCTTGTTCCAGCGTTCCTTGTCAGAACGGTGGCCAGTGTCAAGCCATAGATTCCGAGCTGTACCATTGCGAATGCGGACCTCATTTTACGGGCGACTTCTGCGAGAACATGATTGATCCTTGCCTCTCGAATCCTTGCGGTGGTGGCTCCACATGCGATTCCCTCACCAGCGGCAACTTCTTCTGCAAATGTCCTCCCGGTCGGAAAGGAGACGTCTGCGAAATAAGTATGAGTATTAAATCCCCTCCGCATAGGACAAACGAGCAGAAAATCAATAACCAAAAAATTTCAGTGGATATCGACAGGGATATTTCTACCCCCGAATTCAACGGCTCCAGTTTCATGCAATTCCCGCGGCTGGAAGGGATTAGCAAGACGTTTTCCATAGAAGTTTCCTTCTTAAGCAAAGTTTCCAACGGCTTAATACTCTATAACGGCCAGATGAAAAATGGAAAAGGTGACTTCATATCTTTAGCACTTGTCCACGGACACGTCCAATTCCGCTTTAATCTCGGCAGCGGCATCGCGAATATTACGTAAGTTCGGAGCGCTCTTAAAGCCTGATCTCGGTTCAACGGAAAGTCTCTTTTTTCCAGATCAAAGGATACCATTACACTTGGCGAATGGCACTGGCTTCGAATCTACAGGAACGGACGAGAAGGCATTCTTCAGCTGGACAACCATACTCTAGTACGCGGCTTCTCGGGTCCATCGCTGACTGAACTCAATTTAGAACTACCTTTCTACATCGGATCTGTTCTGTAATATTATTACTAATATTATAAAAAAATAACTGTTATAATTTGTAAATTGCGTCTTCTTGCTAGCTCTTGGAAGGAGGTGCATCGATTGGCTGGGGTATCGAAGGGATTCCGAGGTGCCATCCAGCGAATCCTGCTGAATGGACAACCTATACCCATAGCCGGTAAATTACCAGAATGCTCCTTCGCACCTGTCAACGCGAGCGGATGTGCGTTCCAAGTGAGCGTCCACGACGGATCCCCGTGTCCTTTGGGGAAGAATCCTTGCCAGAACAATGGGCTTTGCGTTCCGGATCTGAGCAATTACATTTGCCAATGTCAGGACGGAAATGAGGGGAAACACTGCGAAATCTGTAAGCGCGACTCGACATATTGGCTCAGCAGCCAAATTTAATTCCACCTAATTGCAGCTCGCGACGAGACTTCATCGATCAAATTCAGCGGCGGCACTTATCTGCAGTACAAGAACAGAGGCTACAAAAGGTAATAACAGCTCCTAACCTCCACATCCACTAACAAATCTCCTTATTAACATGTCCTCAGCGAAAACGATACTTCCAGCTCGAATGGCGAGTATTTGGATGAGGATGAGGACGAGGACGAGCTCGCCGAGGAAGAGCGAGACCTCTATTTAGATTACGAGGAGGACGAAGATTACGATGCTAACTTTTATGATTCATTAGGGTACTAACCGAAACTATTTACATTATTAACACTGCAACTCATTCAACTATACGTTCCTTAGTTTATATTTTCTTTTAGTTTATTTTTTGTTTGTAATCTGTAAGTAATGAGGGATGAAAAACTAATGTTTTGAATTTCCACAGGAGGAAGGGCGAGCGTGGAAACCGCTACGAGTTCAAGTTGCGAACTTTCGTTCCGGATGGGCTGCTCCTTTGGAGGAGCAAAAACAAAAACTTGAAGGAGGATTACTTTTCTATAGCTATTGTTGACGGCTTTCCGGAGATGAGCTACAACTTGGGAAGGCAGAAGAGTTTTTGGGCAATAAGGTTTTTTCGCTTCAACGCTTTTTACCCCAACACGTATATAACGCTTTTTCTTTTGTTTGTTTCTTGTTAGATCAAAGACAAGGGTGGACGATGGCCAATGGCATACGATACACGTCAGGAGGAGGAAACGGAACGGCTTCATATCCGTTGATGGAAACGCTGTGACAAAGGGCATTTCCGAGCCCGGTGCCATTTCTCTGAGCACAAATTCAAAATTATGGATTGGTGAGTAGCATTGGTGTTCATGAAGAGCGATAGGATATAAATGGTATTAATTTACAGGTGGAATGCCTTCGCTGCCGCCTGGATTGCCGTCTCCTTACTACAGCGGCTTCGAGGGTTGCATACAGCACATTCAAATCAACGGAAAGCCAATGAACATGTTGAAACACAACGACTCCAATCTAATTCAATTCTGCCACGATAATGAAGTCTAGGCGAAGTAAATCAATTTATACACTAATTAAGACGATGAATATTAATAATGAGAAGGAAAAAGAAAAAAAAAAGATAATGAAGAGAAAAAAAAATCCAAGTTAATTATATTATATAGATTTTAACAACTGTGAGACTGATGTGTATTCTATACTTTTCCATAAACAAAAAAAAAATATAAATATATATGAGACGAAAAAAATAATAATATAGTAGAATTAGATATTGTTGTATATATATAGTAATTGTTAATATTATTTCTGGAATTGCCCATGTTTTGAATATATGTTTTATGGCCAGTTGATGTTGAAGAAGAAAAGTTAATGGAACGGCGAGGATGTATCGGGAAACGAAGGAAATTATGTAATTAGTGTTTCTCCATGTAGCTTGAATGTAACCCCCTTCCCAAAATGAGAAAAAAAAATGTATAATAATAATACTAATGAAAATCAAAGATGTATCGCTTCAACATATCATATATCAGTGTTGAAAAAAAAATTCCGCGCATATCTCTCCCTTCATAATACCTTTAAACGAATAAATTAATGCTGAACCGATAGGACGAAAAAAAATCTATATATATATATATATAAATATAAAAATATAAATAAATAAACTATATATGTACGTATATGTGTATATAATAATGAAATAAAATACGTTATAAAAATGATGACTCGTTGCATATAAACTCGATGAACGTTGGTTAGCTTGGTGTTGGTAGATAGGAAATTGTAGAAATCAACATCCCCCAGATTGTGTAATCTTAGGCAAACCACTGTGTTCTAGCAACTTCTGTAATCAAAAATATATAGATCTTTCCTATGCCTGTAAACAAATGTTTTCTATTTATCACAATGCTGCTTTCACTTTCCTGAGATCGTTGAACCTTTACAAAGCAGAAGATTTCAACGCACTGAATTCCTTTTACTTTTCCACTGCATTTATTCTTACTAAAAAAAAACATATTCAAGAAACAATTTTTTATTTACAGATGATTCCCCTTAATCGAAACTAGTACATTTTATCCCCATTAAGCTTCTGGTCTAATTATACCAAGTAAATTCTGAAAGAAAAATTGTATTGTATTGGAGAAGCAAAAACAATCAATTTTTTATTTACAGATTTCGTTTAATCGAGACTAGTACATTTTATCCCCATTAAGGTCTAATTACACCAAGTAAATTCTGAAACAACAAATATGTGTATAATAAATTCTGAAAGAATTAAATTATGTAGTCTGAATTTGTCCAAAATGGTTTGCCTTCTATTTTTGCGAGATTGTTGATAATTTAAAAAAAGTAGCCGATTTCTATACAAAAACGTTTCTGCGAATCTCTGCGTCGCGTTAAAGATCAGCAGTTGCAGCTGCAAATCATATAGGCAAACACTAGAGGAGGGATTGACAACGCCTGTCTTTTTTTGTTCTTAACAATTCTATTGGTTCTAATGGTCGGGTCGACTGGAAAAACCATTGGTTCTCATCGCTAATAAAAAATAAGCGTTCTCTATAAGAAATCTTTTCAGCGTAGCGATAAAGATGAGAAGTTGCAGCTGCAAATCATATCGCCAAAGACATTGGATACTCATCACTAATGTTAGTTTTAGAGTAATGGAGATCATTTGAAGGAGTGTGGAGTTTTTTAGGATGGAATTTTGTTAAGAAGGAAACTGTAGTTGAGGATTGTAAATGGATGTTTGATACTCGATGGATATTTACGTAAGTATTTCAATATAGTATAAGAAATGGAATATACTTTTAAATAATTTCAAATAAAACAAATTTCAATGAAATTAATTTTAATTACAACCCTTATAAATTCCAAAAAGTAAACTCAAGTTTATAATATTTCAAATATAAACTTTTTGTTTTTCATTCGAACAATTGAGATTGGGATTTGCATATGAAATATGACTGTTGAATTTGCAACATATGAATCCGTCGTAAGTCGGGGTAGAAATATATTATTACTATATGTAACAATTGATTCCAAGGCTTGGATCCGCATGCAAACCATTGGATACTCATCACAAATGTTAGTTTTAGAGTAAAGGAGATCATTTGAAGGAGTGTAGAGTTTTTTTAGGATGGAATTTTGGTAAGAAGGAAATTGTAGTTGAGGATTGTAAATGGATGTTTGTTACTCGATGGATATTTCCGAGATACGTTATGGGTAAGGATTTCAATATAGTATAAGAAATGGAATATACTTTTAAATAATTTCAAATAAAACAAATTTCAATGAAATTGATTTTAATTACAACCCTTATAAATTCCAAAAAGTAAACTCAAGCCTATGATATTAATGTGAAACTTTTTGTTTTTCATTTGAACAATTGAGATTGGGATTTGCATATGAAATATGACTGTTGAATTTGCAACATATGAATCCGTCGTAAGTCGGGGTAAAAATATATTATTACTATATGTAACAATTGGTTCCAAGGCTTGGATCCGCATGCAAACCATTGGATATTCATCACTAATGTTAGTTTTAGAGTAATGGAGATCATTTGAAGGAGTGTGGAGTTTTTTTAGGATGGAATTTTGGTAAGAAGGAAACTGTAGTTAAGGATTGTAAATGGATGTTTGTTACTTGATTGATATTTCGGAGATACGTAATGGGTAAGGATTTCAATATACTATAAGAAATAGAATATACTTTTAAATAATTTCAAATAAAACAAATCTCATCCCTTTGGCCAGCCTATTGATATATATTTTTTATTATATGTTAACATTTATTTATGTATAAATTGTACTTTTTTTTCTTCTTCTTATGTTTGGCTAATAAATTATTATTATTATTAAAAATCTGAATGAAATTGATTTTAATTACAACCCTTATAAATTGCAAAAAGTAAACTCAAGCTTATGATATTAATATGAAACTTTTTGTTTTTCATTTGAACAATTGAGATTGGGATTTGCATATGAAATATGACTGTTGAATTTGCAACATATGAATCCGTCGTAAGTCGGGGTAGAAATATATTATTACTATATGTAACAATTGATTCCAAGGCTCAGATTCGCATGCAAACCATTGGATACTCATCACTAATGTTAGTTTTAGAGTAATGGAGATCATTTGAAGGAGTGTGGAGTTTTTTTAGGATGGAATTTTGGTAAGAAGGAAACCGTAGTTGAGGATTATAAATGGATGTTTGTTACTCGATGGATATTTCGGAGTTACGTAATTGGTAAGGATTTCAATATAGCATAAGAAATGGAATATACATTTAAATAATTTCAAATAAAACAAATCTTAATGAAATTGATTTTAATTACAACCCTTATAAATTGCAAAAAGTAAACTCAATCTTATGATATTTCGAATATAAACTTTTTGTTTTTTATTTGAACAATTGAGATTGGTATTTGCATATGAAATATGACTGTTGAATTTGCAACATATGAATCCGTCGTAAGTCGGGGTAGAAATATATTATTACTATATGTAACAATTGATTCCGAGGCTTGGATCCGCATGCAAACCATTGGATACTCATGACTAATGTTAGTTTTAGAGTAAAGGAGATCATTTGAAGGAGTGTAGAGTTTTTTTAGGATGGAATTTTGGTAAGAAGGAAACCGTAGTTGAGGATTGTAAATGGATGTTTGATACTCGATGGATATTTACGTATGTATTTCAATATAGTATAAGAAATGGAATATACTTTTAAATAATTTCAAATAAAACAAATCTCAATGAAATTGATTTTAATTACAACCCTTATAAATTGCAAAAAGTAAACTCAAGCTTATGATATTAATATGAAACTTTTTGTTTTTCATTTGAACAATTGAGATTGGTATTTGCATATGAAATATGACTGTTGAATTTGCAACATATGAATCCGTCGTAAGTCGGGGTAGAAATATATTATTACTATATGTAAATATATGTAGGTGTAGCTGGCAGTTCTGCCTGGATATAATAATAGAATATGTTTATCGGTTTGCCGGCGTTTCATTTCCGGCCGTTTCGACGATCCGTTTTTCCTTCCATCATGAGCTTGTGCAATTCCGCGATAGCGCAGCTGAGATCAACAGATGGTGGAATCGCTCTAATATATTAATACTTGTCAGTGCGCACGTCGCGGAGCGCGATCCGCCAAATTCAAGTGCGATTTAAGTCATAACTTTCAGCATTTGTATCGGTTAGTTTCAGCAGCGTAAGCGTCCTGAAAGTGTCGCGAGGAGCGTACCAGTCGCCGCCGACATACAAAAATAATTGCCTTTCGCTTTTACATTTCTTATTTATTTTACATTTTTTCTTGTTTTCGTCCATTTGTTTTCCTTGCTTTCCTTGATCGTCCTGCACCACGAAATGGCACAGAATGCACTGTCGCTAGAATGTAACGTGGAATGCTATTTCAAGCGCGACGGCCGTACTGATTCTTATTTTCTGTTTGCATACATACAGTCGAGGAGACGCTGAAAGGGGACTGCAACAAGCTGTTCGAGGTGCTGAAAAGGACACAGGATGCGGATAATCTGAAAATTCTTTATAGAATCGTCTTCCTGATATCAAACCGTCAAGGCTCCAAGAGTATTTCGTAAGTTACACCAGGTCAGGGTTTGTGATTAACCGAGTTTCTTTCAGTGATGGCAGTGACCAATTTCACGGTGAAATACATCTGCCAGCACCCAACACTTCCCTTAATCCTCGTCGATATCCTGAGGGTGAGTATTATGTTTTAAAGCTGCAGTGCGTAATAGCTTTGCGTAAGAACATCAACTTGAACGGATGGAGTGGGTAAATGGGTTAGAGAGAGACAGAGAGGGGTTGAGAAAGAATAGCAAATATTTGTTGTGCTGACCTTTCGCGTGCTCGAAACACCACTGCCGGCGCATAGAGAATGTGCATGCTGTTGGGCATTAAACAGTGATAAAAATATCAGGGTTTCGGTCAAAACGGAACTAAATCTATCAACCGTGCACGCGATCGTGCCACAATGATTGTCCTTGCTTAGTAGCGAAGACCAAGGTGGAAGCGACAATTTAGGATCAATCTACTGCAAATGACGTCCGATAAACAAACAACCACCAAACGATAGCTCTGGACGCAGGCCAAAAACTCTCCGGTCCAATGCAACAACTCATCACTTTTGCTCACAGTTTCGTTGCTATTCTTTATTTTTTTTTAAGACCACGCACAGCTTGAAGGAATGCACCTACGTTCTCGAGATCTTGGCCAAATTGATCATGAAGAATTCGACCACCTCAGAGGTGGATAGGAAATCCATCAGGAAGTTCTTCTACGAACCTTCGAACTTCCGCGCCATCCTGGATGCCTTTCAATGTCTTTACCAGCACTTCATCCACGAGAAAACCAATACTATCTTCTACGATATCCAACTACGTCTCTTAAAGATAATCAACTGTCTATACCTAAGACGAGGCCAATCGCAGATCTCTCAAATACCCAATGCTACTGTTGAATTCCTGGGACGTCACGTAAATCGTTACAAATCCCACAAGGATATATCTCAGAGCATGTTACCACTCATTAAAGTCATCTGTCGCAACAGTAAGTGCAGGATAATCAAAGCTACAATCAATCTGATCCTATACATCTACAGAGAAAAACTGCGCTCTCGTCTGTAGCGAAGCCTTTCTTATATCACTGGTCAATATAGTTCCAACCACCAACAAATACCCAACAGCCATTGCTTTACTTCGATTGCTCTCCAGAAATCGTAAGTCACCTAAGTTAAAATTATATAATGCTAATGCATTTGATTATAGCTGATGCCGTCTATGAAATGAGTCATTCGGAGAAGACATTCCACTTTATCCTAAATACTGCTCTGCACCACACCGAGAAGTTAAACCACAAAAAGTACCTCATGACGACCCTGTACCGAATTACACGGTCTCGTAAGTACATAACCCGTCACGAGCTCTGAAATCATTCCTCTAAATGTCAGATGCGTGGGAACTTATGCAATTTAATTTCCACATAACTTATTTAACTAACACACATATTTCTTTGATCCAAAACTCTTGCTTTCATTACTGAATTAGTGCCAAATTTATGAAGCAATAAATTTTCTACAACATCTCAATCTTCATTCAACTAGTTAATATATAATATTATATTTTCAAACCAACAATACCATTTCAGAATTTACTTAGTTTAATTATTTATATTTACATAGTTTTATCAAAAAAGAATAGATTTTATTTAAAAAAATCTGAATTTACAAATTTAAATTATGCATGCAAAATGTCGTTAGTTTTTTTTATTGCTTTCATCAAAACTAACGAAGCGATTTTAAAATTGGAATATTGCCAATATAAAAACTAATATATTTACTGGTTATTCCTGGAATAAAATAACTATTTTTTCAGTTAAATTGACTTTTTTTAAATGTAAATTTGTAAATTAATATCAATTAAGATTTTTAAATAATAATATAGATTGAGATAAAAATGCATTTTAGATAGGGGAATACAAAATATTTCAAAGCCGTATTTGTGGAATATGCTTTTGGAGTTTTTCACTAAGATTGATAAATTGGAAGAGCTTAAGCAAAGAATATCTGCGAGTAAAGCATATACGGTTTTGAATCGTGGTATCAATACTTTGTCTATGACGATTACACCCTCTAAGTTGAATCTCAATTTATCGGATGAAATACAAGAGTATAGTGAGTTTCATTAAATGTAGTAGTTGGTGAAACATTAATATCACCATTTTGTAGTCGATGAAATATCGAATCTTCATTCCGATGATAGTGATAATGATGAGAGTGAAGATGAAGAGGAGAAAAGAGATCAAGGTAAAAGTCCCACAAGAGCGGCGTCGGAGGAGAGTGATGATGAGGATGGTTTGAAAGAAAGCGATGACGAGGAAGATGTGCAGATTAATGATGAGGAATTGGAAGAGGAGTCAAATTATGATAGTATAGATTTGTAAGTCGTTGGTAGTCTGATATTAAACGGTAGGTGAGAACTGGTTATCCTTGTAGCGTTGCTCCCTACTATCAAGAATTTTACCCGGAAGTCGTACAAGTGAAAATGAGAACGTTCCATAACATCTGCTTTTACAAAAATAATTTGAATAGAGTTCTGGAAAATCGCGTGCAAAGAAACAGCAAAATCAACAAACAGGCGTTTCCTGATGCGGTTTTCGCGGAAAGCGACGCTAATGATGCTGGCAGCGTCGCGACGAATATCAATTACGTCTGCTTGTAAGTTGATGTAAGCAATGAAGAGGACTAAATGATCAGGTGGAAAATTGCAGGGATGATATGGCTCGTAAGGCGCGGATCCTGAAGGGCATGCAGCAAGGTGGATTCGAAAGAAAAACTGTATTCGACTTGGATAAGTTAATTGAAACCGATGAGGAATCCGACCTGCCTGAGTGAGCTTTGATTGGAGAGGGAAAACCCAGAAGTAAAAATTGAATTGATTTTTTAGGCCTGAAGTGCTCCGATTAGCGGATTTGGCGAGTATAAATAGGAATGTGCAGATCAGCTCTAGGATGAGGAGAAATCCTCCTACGCTGCAGTTTGAGTCGCGTTTCGAATGCGGAAATCTCAGGAAAGTCGAGCAAGTAAAGACCAGAAATAACTCAAGTCTACGACGAAGAAATTAATTTCCATCTTCACAGGTGGCGCATTATGAGTATAATCTATTTATATCCCCGGATATAAATATGACGAACGGCTTGCAGTGGTTCTACTTTCAAGTTAGCAACATGCTGCCGGCCGTACAATATACCTTTAACATTGTCAACTTCCAAAAAGCCAACAGCCAATTCAATTATGGCCTGCAGCCAGTCATGTTCTCAGTCAACGATTTCCTAAGCCGAGGAACAGGTTGGGTGGACATCCATCATCCTTTCCATTATCTTGATTTGAGCTGCTTTTAGGTTGGCGGAAAGTTGGAGAGAAGATGATGTATTTTGGCAATGAAAGCTTTGATAGGGATACTGGAAGACAGTACCGGACTCTTACTTTTACCGTTTCGTTTCCGTACTACCATGACTATTCCTACTTCGCCTACCACTTTCCATATACTTATACCAGAATGCTAGTATGAATTTGAAAATAATGCTAGTGAATTTCACTGAATTCCTCTATTTGCAGACTTCTATATTGCCATGTCTAGAAATTTCAGATGATATTTACAGCAGGGTGGACAGGTTGACTATGAGCGTGAACGATCTTAATGAAGTTCCGTTGATCACGGTCACGGCCAAATCTTCTAATACTCCATTGGAGGTCGGTGTATCACGATTTTCGTTTGCTGGGAACTCATTTGATTGCGGTGTTTTCTTTGCAGGAAAGAGCTTTGGTGTTTCTGACTGCTCGCGTGCATCCGGGCGAAAGCAACTCGTCATGGATAATGGATGGAGTGGTGCGGTTTCTGATGAGCATGGATGAGAGGGCAGCCAGGGCTAGAGAACGGTATATATTCAAGATAATCCCGATGCTCAATCCCGAGGGCGTAATTTACGGCAAGTAAGTAAAAACGCATTTCATCATTTTTCACCTACGTCTTGATTTTTTTCGCATTTTTTATGTATATATGTATAATTTTTAATAATTTTCGCGCCCGCGGAAATCTCGTTTCCTCGAGTCGATTTTCGTCGGGGCGAATACATACAAAAAAAAAATAATGTCCGACAGATACACATTGTCGATTATATAACTAATAGCTAAGGTATAAGGCACTATATGTAGTTGTTATGTTACATGGAATTATGAGAATAGAAACAAAATGAACAAACAAAAAAAAATAAGAGTAAATGAAGTACTAAGAGCTCCTTTGGAACGAAAAAATAATAAAATAAAAAAAAAATATTAATAATGATGAAACAAAGTACATATAAATATTAAATTATTGGACGGATTTTAAGAAACGCTCGTAAAGTGTACCGGTCTCGGGCTCGATCGTAGACACGTAATCGTTATCCTGGTCGTGGTGCTCCACGAGAGCGGCCGGATCGTCGTGCAGTTCCATGCCGAGGAAGGTGTCGTAAGGGCCGTTCGTCGCCTGCTCAACGGCCACGTCCTCGCTTCCATGGGGGAAAACCGGAGCCTTGATGTCCTGTGCGCCGTCCTTGGCGGCCTCCGAGGAATGGGAGAAGCTCGAGCGCCACTTGCTCATGAACTCGTTGATGGTGTGGTGCTTGAACTCCTCCAAAGCCGGCGAGGACGACGCGTCCGGTTTCTCTGTGGTGGTCGTGGTGGTTGTGGTGGTGGTTGATGTGGTGGTGGTGGTCGCGGCGGCGGTCAGGGGACGCCTGCAAGAAGCCAACGTTAAAGAGGAACACGGGGAAAAAGCCGTGCCGCGGGTGCACTGACTGCATTCCCAGCGGCGGCTATTTTAAGATGGGTATAATTATCTTCGACCTTGAAATAACGTAAATATTAGTACTCGTTATACCTGCTTCTCTTCTAGCAGCTCGAAGCCTCAAAGAGAGTAATCTCAGTGTTAAAGCGCTGCAGAAAGCTTTTAGACCAAATATGTAAGAAATATTTTTGTTAGTTCAAGCCTTGAAATCGTTTTAAATTATAATTGATATGCTTGTTGTATGATGATTTTCGTTTTAAATTTTAATGTTTACATGATTCAACTGAGAAATGGGGAGAATAGAGAATTAGTTATTAAAAAATAGCCCTTCCACCTTGCTACCTGCCACCTGGGTCTGTTAATTCGGGAAATTCGCTTAAACCCTAGGTGGGGTGCTGTGCGGGCTCACCTTCTTACCCCTGCGCGGATGACACAGGAATCGAGCCGTAATTATAATAATAACAACGCGTTTGTTCGCAAATGAAATCCTTGATTGTCATGCAATCGTCGGTGTCCCACTCGAAGCTCGGCGCCTTCAAAGCGACGCATCCGTTGGCGGCTCCGCTATCGCTAAAACAATACCACAGATCGTTGAAGAAATGGTCAGGAAGTTTTAAGTTATGGTATTAGGTACCTTTCGCGAGCTGTTCTCTGGGGGCTGGTGCTGCCGCTGGGAATGTCCATGGTGTCATCGGCGGCATCGTTCTGTTTCTTCATGTAGTTGAAAGTCGCATTGAAAGGTAAACCGGTGCTCATCCACAAGAACATATCGGTGCCAAGTTTGTTACCAGAAGTCCAGAAGTCGTACTTATTGTAACCTAACCATAATGCCAACAAGTATTAGCTAACTAATTCGATCGCGAATTACTCTTGATTAACTGTACCTGCATTGCTGAGATACTGGGTGATGGAATCAGCCTTCTCTCTGGTCTCGAAAGATGCGAGTTGCAATCCTAAAGATCTGCAGTACTGGTATGCTAAAAAGTAATTGAGTTCCGGCGAGTACGGGTTCATCCGGCTAACGAAATATTGGACATTGTCTAACTGTATGGTCGTGATCCTCTGGGCTGTAAAATATGCCCACAATTAATAAATAATTCCGATGAGGAACAAATCGAAATGATGGTAATAATAATCGAGAGATTATGCAAGGCGCATTCGGGCACTGGTCAATAATTTTAAATGAAATAATGTCGTGTTTCCGCTGCTCGAAACGACGAATTTAAACGCTGACCCTCGTCGTTTATCGCTTATAGTGCTCAGTAAACAATGAACGGTCGATCGCAGTCCAAAAAGTCGGGGTCGAAGGTTAATTTAAAGGGGGGCCAGTGGTATTGTTCTCACCCTTTTTTGCAAACCTGCGTACGTACCTTGCGAGCTGGCGGCGAACAGCATTAGAGCCACACTTAGAACACTGAACTTATGCATGGCTATGTCGATTGGTGAACCCTGAACTGTTCCTGGTCTACTGCAGGTGATGCTAATGTTAAAGAGTTTAATCGCTGACTAAAGAGCGTCCAGTGCGGAGCGACGGTTTTGTGGCCTCTGCACCGGATGTGCCCCCACCAAAGGCTCTCACCAGAAGCGTCCATCCTCCTCTAGTCCTTCGGTAGGAAAAATGTAATGCAACTACCCGTGCTTTATTATCGCATTGTTCGGCACATAAATTACACCTGGTACCATTGACATTGTAAGTACCGGGCATCGGAGGCGTTATGAAAAGTTCGCCTCCCGTTCGGTTCGGTCCGTTCCCATCGCCTCTGCCCAATCGCAATAAATTCCCAGCGATCGGCGCCATTAAAAAGAAAATAACGCACAAAAAGCTCTGAGAGAGAGAGAGAGAGAAATAAGAGAAAATAAAAGAAAACACATCATTGCCCGCCATTTTCATTGCCCATTAAACGCTGCGATCCATTGTTTAACGATTTTTCCGTACTTACGGTCACCCGAAACCAAAACAACCACGCACGCACGCACCATCCTCGTCGTCGTCTGCACCTCTTCTCCAATTACGTAACTAATCAAGTCGGGCCTGAACGAGAACAATGCATTTATTCATGCAGTTTAATCGTCAAGGGAAATTTACTTCTGCACCTGCTTACATGTGTTTACAAAACCAACTACACTAAATAATTCCTAGAAAAGTCACGTAACAATAGTAAAAGTAATAAGTTCCTTTATGGGCAATAAATCAAGAATTCCTACAAACTTTACAAACAAATTGAAACGATTTCATTTAACTACCTTTTCCGTGCTTCCATTACTCAAAACCTGAGAAACACTAGAGCAATATCATAATCATAAAATTCTCCCTGTATTTGATTCCCACAGTTTTGATTTAAAAGAAAAATATATAATTTACTTTACTATTTAAATTATTATCAATTTTCTATAACTTGTATTACAATTATTTAATATTTAAATGAAGTTTTGAAGAGCAATATCATAATCATAAAATTCTCCCTGTATTTGATTCCCACATTTTTGATTTAAAAGAAAAATATATAATTTACTTTACTATTTAAATTATTATCAATATTCTATAACTTGTATTACAATTATTTAATATTTAAATGAAGTTTTGAAGAGCAATATCATAATCATAAAATTCTCCCTGTATTTGATTCCCACATTTTTGATTTAAAAGAAAAATATATAATTTACTTTACTATTTAAATTATTATCAATTTTCTATAACTTGTATTACAATTATTTAATATTTAAATGAAGTTTTGAAGAGCAATATCATATTCATAAAATTCTCCCTGTATTTGATTCCCACATTTTTTATTTAAAAGAAAAATATATAATTTACTTTAATATTTAAATTATTATCAATTTTCTATTGTAATACAAGTTATACAATTATTTAATATATAAATGAATTTTTGAAGAGTTAAATTTTGTTTCGAAAAATCTATATTTTTATCTTTAAAAAATATTTTTTATCAAGTTGATTTAAAAAAAAATCTTATTTTCCTGTACTACTACTTTGTGCACATGAACTTGGCAAGGCGACGATTGCTTAACAATGGCAATTTCTGTATTCTATTCATATTTTCATTTGCGATCAAAAGAGGCAACGCAGCTGTTCGAATTCTTGAAGAACGACCAAAACATTCTCGGAAAATCCATTGCCCAAACAAAATACAAAACGAAAACAGCTCGGAAATATAAAATACAAAAGAAAAGAAAATGAAAACTGCAGCCAAAATTCGAACACTCTTTCTCATATACAAACACCGAACAAATAAGCAATTGTTCTTTGGATCATTCAAATTCTAGAAGCAAAAGATGACACAAACAATATACAATGGATTATTATATATTTGTTTGTTTTTTTTTCTTCTTCTTCGCGTGTTTCTTACATTACTTACCTTGTATATTAATTTCGAAAAAAAAATTTGTAAGTCAGATAGATTTTTTTCACGTGAACCACGGTTTGCACATCAATTAGCGCATTTTAAAATCGAACTGTACAACGTCAATGATGACAGTCGCAAAATTAAAGTTTGAAGAAAGAAAAATATAAAATCAAAATTAAATTAATATTATAAGTGTATGTAAGAGATATAAGGAAGCATTGGGCTATTGACCGTAGGTCTTTGCGCCTATAAAAATGTATTTTTTTTTTAAGAAAAAATATGGTTGTAACATGAAGTACGTAGAGTAAGAAAAAAAAAGTGTTTACCGCTATTACAAGTGGTCGGGTTTTGTTGTAAAAAAAAAATAAAATTACAAAACGTAGAGAGCGAGGTTAAGGACGTCTCAGAAAATCGCAGGTACCGAGCGATGTTTTTATAACTTAATTAAATCAAGATCTGTTGCGAAACAAAGGAATGTCGGTTGGCGAGAAGAGCAAATAAATGAGGTAAAAGATGGGGTTTGGAGGAGGAGAGAGGAGGTGAAGAGGAATCGATGCGACGCGGAGGACGATGGTAAATTTGCAGTTTAATTAATATTTGATTTTATTGTGTATAAATCGCGAAATAAAAAAGGCACAGACGTTCGCCGTGTATAATCGTTATACTAAGTACAGTATATAATTTTAAACCGGCTCCAGAGTTTTATTGTCCTTTTGCTGCTGCAATCTATTTATATACGTATGTGGATGTGTGTATTCCAGTATTAAAATATCGTAATCTAAAAGCTGGATGCGAAGTGAAGGAAAGAGATGCGACCAAAATGAGAAACACGAATGTTGGTGCGAGAGACAAGAGAGAGAGAGAGAGACAAAGATATGTATGTATATACAAAGAGAGGATACAAAAACCCGAACGAGGCCGGTATGGAAATCATAAAATTGTTTATTTCCATTGTGCGAAATCCGTTTTAATTTCGCGCGCGGTGTGGGAAAGACACAGCAAAACAGATACCAAAACCGATGATGAAGAAGAAGACTAAGAAGAAGACGAGGAACAATAAATAAAATTCAACGAGAGAGGAAAAATGAAAATAAAGTAGAAACGTTGCGGGGGGAAAAAGGTAGAGAGGTGAGGCAAAGCGCGAGAATAAGATGGGACGGTGAAGCCCTTGAGGGCCTGAATCCTTCCAAGAACGAGAGGCATCGGAGCAGGTCGCAACGCGCGTGATGAATGGTCTTCGCGGAGATGTTACGAGGGTCGGATTAGATAATTGTGGTGGAAATGAAGGCGAAACGTCTGATTTGCATAGAAGGGACTTCGGCGAAACATAAATTACCGATTAGCCGCGATTATTAGTTGCGAAACTGATAATTGTCTTAGGCTCAGTCTAGACTCCGGTAATAAATACGAATTGGCAAAATGATTTATTGAGATGCCTTCACGTACTCGTAAAAAGGACTCGAACGAGAAAGACCCACACAAGGCCACAACGCACAACAATATATGGGAGCCGCAGCAAAGACGAAAATCCATCTTCTCGTTGAATCCTACTTTTTCTTTTTGTGGTCTTCTTCGGGTCTCTCCACCTGGCCCGAACTTTGCCTGGTCATCCACTTGCGAAAATTCGGTGCCGTTAGATTACGGTTGATTATCTTCCAAATTACTTGCTATTAATTGTTTTATTATTCCGCTTTCGTATTAACAGCTAACGGACGTCGTTCGAATATTAATTTTCGGCACATTACTTATTTATAGACACATCAAAAACCTCAAATGTCCATACTGAACTCTGTCTGATAAACGTCCAACAAAGTCCATCCAAACAACTTCAATAATAGCACATAAATACGAATAAACAACTTTATTAACACCTAAATCTTAAATACGCAATTTTTTTTTCTCTTTAAGCATTTTAATTAATATTGAAGTACATTTTTTTGTAATCCAAAAGTCCAAATAAAAAATATAGTGGATAAATTGGAATTTTTTTAGGATTAAATAAATTATGGAAATACAAATATTGTCTATACAAGATTATATAAATCTAATATCTAATGTTTAGAAATGTAGTCTTAAGTCCAAAATTTAGCAGAATTAGTTAATTTTCATAATCATAAATACACAATATTCAATAATATCTTCTTAAGTATTGCTTCCAAAAGATATTTGATTATACTATAGCTATAGTTTATTCCAAAAATTAACGAGTTTCAAAATTTCCGGACTTTTACTCGTACAGTGAAACATATTAAAAAATACACGTAATATGTATACACAAGTTTTTAAAATGATGTAGCAATCTGGGTCTTCATTCTTGCAATTAATTTTGTTCGTTAAGCGAGGTTCCACTGTAAATATATATAAAAAAGTGAATTTAAGCAGACCACAACAAATTATTAGTTAAATTTGTATTGGTTTTATCAATGATCAAGAACCTTAACGATTTATCAATATTTGAACTGTGTTCGTGGAACTTTCATAAAGGATTACAGTCGCACGGTGTAATATTCAGAAAGCTGAGAGGTTTTCATTAACGTCGCCGTGTTATGTGTTTGTATTTTTTTACGAGCGGCCTATTTGTGTCAGAGTATAATTTATGTCCCTATTGGAACGCCATTAAAGAAAACCATAAAAAAATGGACCCACCGTTAATTCGTTTCATTCAAAAACCAGATCGGTTGTTTATAAACATTTCAAAAAAAAAACCCTACTGAAATATTTTATGGGTAACAGCGGTAGCATATACATTTCACATTTCTTGACGCGAAAACATAATAAAAATTTAAATTATTTCTTTACAAATACAAACAAAAATTGACTTTAACAAATCAAATGTTTACTTAACTAATACAAATTATTTACTTTGATCTAACAAATTTAACAGTATTATTAAAAAAAAAATAGAATTCATTTATTTTTTTTTAATATTTAGAATAAATTAATATACTTAATTAAACAACAATTTAAAACTAGTTTTTTTTCTTTAATTAATTAAAATGTACCCAATTTTATATATATACATTTCACATTTCTTACGCGAAAACATAATAAAAATTTAAATTATTTCTTTACAAATACAAACAAAAATTGACTTTAACAAATCAAATGTTTACTTAACTAATATAAATTATTTAGTTTGATCTAACAAATTTAACAGTATTATTAAAAAAAAAATAGAATTCATTTATTTTTTTTTTAATATTTAGAATAAATTAATATACTTAATTAAACAACAATTTAAAACTAGTTTTTTTCTTTAATTAATTAAAATGTACCCAATTTTATATATAGATAATAATAACTTCAATTATTGTAAGAGTGTATTAACATTGATTTGAACAAACTTTTGTAAAGTTCAAAAGTTTTGTCTAGTATTTGATAAATATCTTGAAAATTAACAAAATAAATAAAGAATTTATCTGGAATTTATTTAAAATTGATTTTTAATAGAAACCACAAAAAGTTCGAACGAAAAATCGTAATAAAATTCGTATTTGCTTCGCTTTACGTTTCCATTGTCCGTTGTTTAATTATTTATTTATTTTTTTTGCTTCGTTCTACGTTCTTCTGCTGTATGTGGCCGAGCGCGTTTGTCTCTTTTTTTTTCTTTTGTCGCCTTTCGTCTTGTGTGTGTGGTCACGTAAACCGCATTGCGCAACGGGGTAATTACGGACCGATTTACAATTAATTGGAATGGTGCGAAACTGACGGTCGTTCATTCGCGCCATCAACGTTATTCCAATCGTTCTTCGCAACGTCCAAATTCACCGTGAATTGCCGTTTCGTTCGCGTTATTATTCATTTTATTTTCGTTTGTATTTCTGTCGGTTTACAAACCGTTGGAAATTCCGTCAGCCGGTTCATTGGTTCATTGCCTCTTCGAATTTGGCACGCTTCATAAACGACGTTATTCATCTACCAGTAAACACTTAACTGAAACTGAATTAACATCGGGTTGAAAGAAAAACAAAACAACAACCATCAACTTTTAATGTTTCGCAGACATCGGCTAATCAAGTTTCAGTCGCTAAAAGAAATGTATCATATGTCTATCTGTAATTAATATTATTTTCGTGCTAAAAGTCAATTCTAAAATTTTTATATTTAAAAATGATTCCTTTCTATTCATGTGGTTACGCGATACCATTCAAGTAACATATAAATTACGCGAATTTGGTATACCTACTAAGTTATATGTTAATGCATAAAGTGCCAAAATATTGTTACAACTGATTGCTGTAGTTTAATTTGGCTGTAATTCGCGTTGAAAGTTAAGAAAAAAATATGCAGTGTTTTTATATTTTAGTGATTTTCTCGGAAACTAGAATAGATTGAATAAATCTAAAAGATGCATGTTAATGTTCAGAGTATTTTCAGAAAGTTTTCCGAGAATAGTTTGCAAATAATGAAATGAGCAGCAAGGAAATAACATGGTATTTGAAATGGTGGTAATTTACGTTCTTCCTCTAAAGACTGTATTGCATGATGGTTGTGGTAATAGTGAGCGGAGATACGTAATTAACGATCCTAAGATTATAGATGCATTGCTTAGGTCGAAATTGGATGGAATCGGATAATTTGAATGTAATTAGTAAAAGTGAGTTGATGCATTAACATTCCGAGCTGGCGAAGCATTAGCATATTGTGGACATGCTATGGATGAAGCATCGTGCGTTTGACAGTTTTCCATATGGAGGAAGGAATTGGCGAGCGGACAAGTGAGTTCCGTTGAACCCAGACTTGACCTCAGAGATTCGCTTTCGATGGAAAAGACGGTGCAGAAAGAAAAGAAAAAACAATGGAAGAGGCGAACCGATCGCAGCTTCGAATCTATTGTTGCTCCACAATAACCAGTCATTGCCATCCATTCCACATTTCCAAACGCGCGCACACATCCATACCATGTACATACGGATACACACAGAGAAACACACCGTAATAAATTGAATTACTGCAGCGCCGACCGGCTAATAATAAACCGGAATGAAAAAGCCTCATACGGTGGACAGTGCAGAAAGAGATTCCATGAACTAGCTAGTAATTCAGTTTTAGTATGGTTATGCTAAATTTCCGCGCAAAGTGCGCGGGGCCGACCGAGAACGACGAGACGAAAACGGCGACTTTTACAAAAGCAAGGACACCATAATTATTTACCCGTAAATGGCCACTTTATCCTTACAAGTTACACATTTTCAAAACAAATTACTGAATGCAGTGGTTTCTCAATTCCAAAACAAACAATCAAACGAACAAACCAAAAAAATAAATAAATAATAAAATAAATAAAAATAAAAAATAATGGTCGGAGCAGCAACAAAGCTTCTCCTCTCTTCTGTTCAGCTCTGCCCCGTTCATCGGGCTTCTTCTTGCTGGTCTTATTTTTCGTTTGGCCGCGCTTTCTTTCGCTGTTCGTTTTTTCGCCGGCTCTTTTCTTTCTTTCAGGCTAACTAGAATGGTGCGTCTCGTCACGACCGTGAACCAGTAGCGTTGCACCATCTGAAAGATGGATCCGCGATGGTACATCTCCGATGGGTGGACATGCGGCGCCGTCGCGCAGACAGCGCGGAACCGTTTTTTTCGGCTCCGTCCTTCCGGGTGGCTGAGGTGGCCAGGTGCGACCCACCGGATTCCGCCTGCCCCCGGTTCCGTCCGGCCCCGCCACTGGACACTCTTTAAAGGCACCCCATTATACGTAAATAAAGATCGCTACCTGCATTGTTTAACGAGCGAGCAGTCTATAAAAAATGCATGCCTCCATCTCAAATATCTGGCCGTAGGGTGGCAAACGTGTTACTACACACTATGTAAATAATGGCACCGAACGTGGGGCTCCACGTTCAGGCCCGGTCTGGTCTGTGCAGCGTTCTCCTTTTGTAATTCCGAAACGCATCTTGATTAATGGCCTTCGTAACAGGTCAATGGTATAAACAAGATTTTCAATTCGCCTCGTACGATTTTTATTCAAATACACGTCTGTCTAGCAGCACCTTAGATACGAAACCATCTACCCATTGGCCATACTAACTAGCGATACCTAGCTAAGCACCGGATAAAACGATTAGTATTCCTTCGGTGCGTCTCCGCTTCCTTCCTATAGACACACAATGCTAAAACGACCCTCCGACCGGAACAATAACTCATCACCTCGGATTCCTCCAACTCCAACATTCCTCTCGCAAAAAAAACTGATAATAATAATGAAGAAGTAGAAAATGAATAAAAAGCGAAGAAGAAAGATTATAAAAGCTTAATCGAATATCCTTGTTGTCCAGTTCCAGATGCGGCCTTACCGGGAATGACCTGAACCGCTGCTGGAAGAAACCTCACCCAGTTCTTCACCCAGAAATTTATTATGCAAAGGTATACGACGGCAACACGCCGATCGTAATCTTATCCTATTAATCTCTGTGTAGAAGCTGGTACAATTCGCGAGGGAACGACTCTGCCGGCCAATTTTCGCTTTCATCGACATACACGGCCACAGCAGAAAGAAGTACTTCTTTCTGTACGGCTGCAACCCCAAGCAAAGCTGGAATGACGGCGACAAAACGCACGCTGATTCATCAGATTCTTCGTATAATGTAAATACTCATTATTATTACATACAACCATTGCAGCACACGCAGACACACATTCGCATCGCATCCACTCATCATCAACCGATTCTTTGTTGTCCGATCCACACGAACTTCATCTAAGTCAAAAGAATTCCTAAAACCCATTTAACAACAAACGCCACCATTAATTCTACAAACATACACCTACATCCTCTGCAATGCATTCACTTAACGACGCACTTCACAATTTATTACTACTGCGATTTTTATTTTACCTCTTTACTTTCTTTCTTCTTATACTTTTCTTTATTTTCAATACTTCTTTTTATCCTCTTCTCTCCGCGTGTCGCTCGTCGTTTGCTCCTCTCTATTTTATACTTGCAACAACTTGCACAAAAAGAACTCATCTTATTTTCATCAGTCTATTTACCTCCACCGCACTTCTACATAACTTATTCATTTCAGATATTGCATTTGAAATTTTCCAACTAAATTTAACTTTCCTATCTCAAACACTTCATAACACTTTATTCATAAAAATCTTCTCTATTCTCAGTTACTACATTATCAAAAACCAATTTAAAATATACATTTTAAATTTATTGATAATTTACAAATCGAATTATTGCATTAATAATTGCAGTAATGTTAAAAAAAACTTTCTTAATTTGTACATTTGCAATTAATCGTTTTTTTTTTCTACATAATTTTCATGAAATTGTGGTGACATGAACGAATATGTGAATATTGAAAATGAGTAAATATAATATATATTGTTGAGAGTTATATATGCATTTGTAGATACTGCCAAAAGCTTTAAGCGCCAATGAAAACATGAAGATGTCGTTTTGTCGTAATACCATTGAGAGAAAGAAGGAGTCCACGTGTCGAGTGGTGATGTGGCGTGAATTCGGTATCAAATGTTCCCACACCCTTGAATGTTCGTACTGCTCAGGAGATGGAAAAAAGGTAACGTTATGTGGAAGATGGAACTCGCATCATCATGAAGATATCTTTATGTTCTAGAAAGTAACGACGAAGATGCTTCGCGATATTGGTGCCAGCATCATAACATCACTGGCGGCTATAGCCGACGGTTAACCTTATGCATAGTTACAGACGATTCCTGCTTGCAACATCCAGACAGAAGAAATAACAACTTTGTGTATAACTCATATATCCTCTTTATAAATAAATAAAATTCACGTATAAATAAAATGAGAAAAGAGAATATTGCATAGAGTATAGTATATAAAGAAAATAAAGATACGTGCTATTTTCAGAGCGAACAAACAGGCGAGCGCTATTTTAACAAATGCTTACCGGTTTGTTGCATTACATTCCCCTCTCCGACGCACGCAGCCAGGCATCCTTATAGCAAGGCAGGCAAACATCACGAAACGCCTTTTATTTTGAACATTATTTTCTTTAAAACATCCATTATTCCGCGGCACTGAAATAGCCTTTCGATCTATAGAAGAAAAAAAACTGTTTTTCAACATGGGACTGGAGCGATTAATAAATATGAAACAAGTCTGCGCTCCGTCTCTTTTCCTCTGTCTCTCCTTCCATCTGCATTTCTCGGCAAACCTCATGAAATAAGAATAAACAAGAATGGCATCACATGAAAGCCTAAATTTTATTCCAATTAAGCAGATGACATGATTAAGACCACAACCTTAGTAGTCTGAGTAGTTTGTAAACATCTTCATGCAGGCCCAGTCAAAATAAGATTCAGGTAGGTTAAGGATTCTCTCACTAAATCCGGCACACGTCTACTGTATAGAATATTAATAGCGATGAAGGAAGAAAGAAGAAAAAAAAAACGAATTCTATTTACAATTTGCTGGATTAGAATTTGTTATTTAACGTAATTCTTAATAATGAGAACTTTTTTCATTGTTTGTCATAAAAGTTAAATATTATAATATTCTTCGAATAGTGTGATAAACAACAAATATTGCATTATAGTAAAAATCATATTCAAGTAATTGTGAAAAAGTATTAACTATTTTATATATTTATATATGAATCATCAAAGTTATAGTGAAATTATAGAAATTAAATATAGGATTTTTTTTCTATATAAATAAAACAAGTTATATACATTTTCTTTGTCACATATATTTTTATCTCCATTAAATATTCTTAAATTATAGGATACAATATATAAACATAAAACTACAATAATATCTTGTCATTTTAACAATACCATTATTAGCTAAACAATTATAGAATGAAGAAAAGAACGTAACGAAATCTACGGTAATCCTAATGGTAACTATATTATATAATTAATATCCACTGATATGCAACACGCTCGACACTATTGTGCACGAGCGATTGCATAGCTTACCCTGATTTTTTTTTTCTATAGACGATCTGAATATATTTAATAATACGCAAAGGACAAAGGTCGTTCTATTGGTTTCAATCATTACGACCCTTGACCTACAGCAACACCGAGAAGGATCAAAATTGTCTTAACATTAGTTTCTTCTTATTAATTTTTTCTTGGTAACTTACTTTAGCGGATTTATTCCCTTGTTACAAAATAGATGACTACAAAACTAATATAAAAAAAGTATAGTATACAATACTCATTGATTTTTTTTTTTGGTCAAATAGAAAAATGTGCTATATCGATCATCATCATCATCACAGAACAAAATACAATTTTTAAAATAATAATAATATTAGCATTAATCGCAAGTTAAATTTGAAAAGTAGTTATACTTTTAAGTATGTTAATTAAAAGTTTAATTATTGTTCTTAATTTATTCTTTTGCTTATATTTTTTTTCCAATTCTTCTGTTGTCTTTGTTTGCACGTCGTTTGTGTGTTTGTCTTGTGTGTTATGTTGTGTGCGTGTGTGCTTCCTTTCTATTCGCGTTTCTGCATGGATTTGCCAACAAGGATCTTCATTTGTTCGTAGGTGATCCACATCATTATGTTCCATGCAACGAGGCGACAGAATGATGGAGTAAATCTGAGATTGGATAGAAGCTTGTTAATGCAATTGTCGAAGCTTGATTTGTTTTTTTTGATAGTTACCCTTTGTAGAAAGCCTTGGTGCCTTCTTGCATGAACATGCGAACGCCGCAGTCGGCGGCGCCCTTGTACTCTCCCTTGGCAGAGTTCATGTAACGAGTCTTGACGACATCAACAGGGGATGCGACGACCGTTGTGCAGAAGCCAGCGATGACGGCAGACGTGAAGTGCAATGGAACACCTTCCTTCATCAAGTGGTAGTAGAGCAAGGTGTCCTTAATAATATCGTAGCAGACAATCTCCGAGACGTTCACAATGGCATTCCTGCTGACGTTAGGGAAGGTGCCTGAGAAAGATAAATTCCGTTTGTAACGCATTTTATTCGCTTTGTTCTGTTTTACTTGTTTCTTCGTTTTTTTTTTAATAACAGCCTCGTGCATGCGTGTAATTACATACGATTTGCATGAGACGAGACGAAACTCGAATCAAAAACGACGAGGAAAGGAGGCACGGCACGGCCCAGAGGAAGACGCGAACCTCTTTGTAATTACCTTGTTGCCTGCTAAATGAGGCTGGAGGCAAGGCAAAGCAAAAATTCCATAACTGATAGCCTTAAATCACTTTTAAACATAAACATTAAGCGTTATCTTCTTGCCTTTATCAAAACGCTCATTTCACGAAGGTGTACTATTTTTAATTTGCTTCTGCTTTATTATTATTATTCTTATTGTTGCAATGCTCGAGGCTCGTTACGTAAAGTTCAAGGACGAAGTGATAAGGACGTCTTTACCTTTCCAAAGTCCACGGACTCCTTCCTTGGTGGCGATGGACTTGTAGGCCTGAAGGGTTGAAGAGTACCGGGCGGTAGTCTGACCCTTGGCCGAAGCCTGGAAGCGGACCTTGACTACGTCTGTAGGTTGCGCGAGGAACACGGCTAATCCGCCGGTTGTCAATCCAGCGGCCACCCTAGCTCCAATGTTAAGGCTGCCAGATCTGCTGTTACCTGCAAAGTATCCACCAAAAATTCAAATTAGCATCGAGCCTAGTACGTCGCGACTATAAACGAATATTAGTTTTTGCTTATGAATGTGAATTTAGTATATTTATATACATGTATACTTGCAATTGTAACCAAATGAATGGAAACCAAATGAATGAAGTAGTAAAAAAAATAAAGAAAGGAATTTGCTCTTGATCAATCATAGATGTTAAGAGTATGTCTTTTTGCTTTTGTCTTAGAGTAATAGAAATATGAAGATTTTGGATGTCAACGAACGGTTACTAGCAGAGACTGCCAGTAAACGTCGTACCGTCAATGAGATGTTGGTAGAACGTCTTGAAGGTGTCGTAGAGACCAATTCGCACTGAGGCGAAACACATCTGGCGCTGCAGACCGGCTGAGAGGCCATTGTATAGACTCCTGCAATAAAACCATATCACACAACGTCTTTTGCCCTTTCCCACAACAAACAATCACCAGCTAGCACAAGCTAACCAGCAGACCAAATAAAAATATTATGTTTACTATTATAAATATGTATTTTTGGCAAAACAAAAATTTGAGATACACTCCCTTATCGTGTCAAAAGGATAAAACTAGATACTTGCCCGACTTTTCGTTACTAAACGTTTAAAGGATCAGAAAAACCGATACATACCTTGCGCCTTCCTGGCGGACCATGTTGGCTAAGGTCCCGAATAATCCATATTGTGTCCCTGTTTGTGAACGGAGCAGTGCCACTGTTCCATTCTGGACCACTGACCTAGCCTCACCTTGAATCTACAACAAAGAAACGATAATTACAATCCATCATTACCATAGCAACAGACTTTCGATTCGTCCATCGTATTAACCTTGGAACGGCCGATTTGGACTAGATTTTAAAACGATCAAAATTTGTTACATCATTTTCGAACCTAACATTTACATTGCGTAACCTTTTAACATACATTTTTTAATACACAATGAATGCTTCAATAAATAAAAAAAGATCAGCATTAAATAACATTACCAAACAGGACGTATTCAAATTACTGAACTCTACTATTAAACCTAATTCCCTGATAAGATACGGTATTTACGAAAAAAACGATATAGTAAAGAAATTTACTAGAAAAAAAACATGAGTATCTTATCAATGAAATCTATGGATCTGTATCGAAAACCACGAGGCAAATAATATAAGATTTGGATGTCTGATAAGAAACTGCTCCGCGACAATACTATTTTTGGTGTCAACTAATTTATATTGAAACGCAGATTCAATCAAATAATAATATTTCTTTATCAACACAATATTAGATAATAAACACTGCTCATTATACAATTCATATGATACTTGTTGCTCATAGTGTCAAATGTCCTCGCTTCAAATTCGTGTGATACGATTGAATGTGTTTCTACTGATATATCTTGTATTTTAATAACATACAGTCCGAGACATGATCTATTTACCAAAAAAAATGTGGGTTACGCAAAATTGATTGCTGCATCAGCGACTTAAATAGAAACAAATTGAATTGCCAATAATATTTTTGCTTTATAGTAGGATTTAATGATTTTGGATAGAGGAAAAACAATGTACAATTGTCAGGCATAAAGGAAAGATCTGACCTTCGGCAACCTTGAAGTGACAAACAGAATGCAATTGCAAATGATTAAATAATGGTTGCGCCGTTATCGATTGCTGTTATACAATTGCCGACAAACAACTAAATGGACGAACATTTCAAGGGGGAGAATTTAACGGATAAACAATTTAGCGGATGAAAATGTAATGAAAGTGTTTTTTTTTTTGTAAAATCACCTTGGATGTCTTTTAAATATAATTTTCCGAACGCGTCGTAATTGTGTATGTTTTGAGTCGTTAATTGAAGTTGCACTAGGTATTGAACTTCAAAATCCAGCAACTATGACGCAGTGACCTATTTCATTGTTAACCAGAAAGTTGAATCGATAAGTGCATGTGGTTTGATGAATCATGCGATTTCCATGTATTTGAGCTTACCTGGAGGCGAACTTTGGCTGTGTCCAATGGAAAGGTGACAGCGTCTGCGATGCAGGCAGAGGTGCCTGCCGTCAACAGTTTTGTGTAGATTGAGACGTTTTCGAAACCGCTCATCTTGTCTGCAAAAGGTTGGAATGGTAATGTAACGGTTGCTAGGTGCTTCGTAGTTTCACAGCCTTACCTATGTTTCGCGCGAACTAGTAACTTGAGACTTCTCTATAGTCGTCGTTGAAAATGTAGATGCAACGGAGGGCAGCTAAATGTTTTCGCCCGGCTTCAAGCCTCTGCAAGGCGTTACTGGTTCGTTGGGAGTTTGAAGACCTTTTGCTCATACTATTCTGAAATCACGATCAAACGCGAACGAGAGAAAAAAAAAACAACATTATTATTATTATTATTATTAGTACTACTCCACGCTAAAATGATTAGGTGATAAAGGATGGGGAGTGCAAAGATAACTGGGCCGCGCAACTCACCGTCCCATTTGGACGAATGCGGAATTTCGTCTCATCTAACCGACAATATTTATGCATAAGTATATATAGTTAAGAGACATCTCGTTGTTGGCACAAATTAGTTCTAAACCGATTCAACCTTCAATCGCGTTCCCAATATCATATCGATATCTTTGATAGGAAATATACCTTGGACAGCATCTTGCTACAAAGAGCAGTCCATGCAGAACGCGCAGCTGTAGACTACATCATAGCCGTCGCGTGGTCCCGAATCCCATCGATTTCTCACCTATTTTCGCATCCTCTAAATATTTCTTCTCA